TCAAAAGTGCTTCAATGTAAGTTTATTTGAATAAATGATTTCTATTCTATTGTTAGTTGTAAACCAGTGCAGGAGACGCCGCAAAGCACTATTTACATCGTCATAATTATTAGTCATTCTATTAACTTTAAAAATCAATGAAGTATCGTCTGCAAACAATACTATGCCGCATCTATCCTGCATGGCATATGGGAGATCATTAATGTAAACTAGGAATAAAAATGGACCGAGAATAGATCCTTGAGGTACACCCATTTGCACAAGTGACCCGTCAGACGTAGCGTTGCTAATCTTCACTTTCTGAACACTTTCACTTCATAAACTACAACACAACAACCACGGGAAAGGAAAGGGTGGCCTATTCTATGCCGGGACCTACACGGCTTTATAATTTATTTAGCACTATTTATATCAAGTATTACTTATTATAACCACATAAATAATCTTGCGAGATCGTGCAAGAACTCCGTAATAAAAGCTTAACAATATATTTTTTTACAAATAATAATAGTATAGGTATATTTTTATTGTCTTAAAAAATTCTTAAGGGTGTCGCTATTTTAATATGAACTCTATTTTCCCACCAATAAAGTAAAATGCATCGTGACTACTAAGAATTATAAAAAGTCGATCTAATTTATTTCATTTATTCAAAAGAAACAACTAACAATGAACGCTAGTTGAAGGTCCAGCAGGCGAGGGCGGCCGAGCAGGCACTGACGTGATGGAAAACGCGAGGATGCCGCCGCCGCATTCACGACCTCCATATATTTTAAGGACATAAAAACGCCAATAAACGTTAACGGATAACGCTATTTGTTGTTAAAGGGCACTCCAATATTTATTTAAATTTTCGTCTCGCTTTATTGGCAATAAAACACTCGGATAAAACGCCGAAATCTCCGCTGAATCTTGCAATCACCGAATGGACAAACCTAATGTCAACATATTGTACGGTATTTTTGAGAGTATTAAAATGCGCACTGCAATAGACAATATGACCCTTCTATTAACTGACTTAAAAATATCCGAAAGCTTTTAAACTTTAATTAATTATTTACATAAAATATTATACGCAATGAACATGACAATAAGATAAAAGTACATACGCAGCAGGAGGAAATCTGTGACATAAATATAGATAATCTTTGTATTTATTACGCTGGGGCGCGTGGGAGGAGACTCCGCGGAGAACGTTTCCCAACCACTCATATTCAGCATTCCCCCAATATCCTGAAATACCAACAGTAATTGCATATAGCTAACACCACGAAAACTATTGTGATAAAATCCAAATTGTTTCGGTATTTATTTATTTATATTTTGCATACATTAAAATATATCTACAGGGCGGACTTAATGCCTGATGGCATTCTCTACCAGTCAACCGTTACGCTAAACAGATAGAATAAATGGCGGTGCATTGGTTTGACTAAAATAATTTGTAAATTAAATAAATATTCTATATAAAAGGATTATAAAGTATGAGAAAGGAAGGTAAAAGAGCATGTTTCTCATCTAACGATAACATACCGCCGCAGCTCATAAACTCTAGAAACGACAAAAAAAAAAAAGAAACTTTGCGAGCCTTTTAGGAAACTAGGTATAACTTCTTTTTTGAAAAATCCGATGTAGTACTTGTTCAAACACGTCACCGCAGCTAGTTTGTCCCACATTTCCATGCGATTCGACGAAAGAAATATCACGTAAAACATAGTAATGAGTCTCTATTTATTATTTGTAGGATTCTCATTTAGATACATCTTGAATTTTTATAAGGTTTATGAATTATAAAAAATTTACTATATCTCTTGAAATAAATTTAGAAAATAAATATAGAGTGTCTTAAGTACTAAAGAGCTTCATTGATATTCAAGTGGGCAAGTGGATACAAGAAAACTAATATACTCGTACTCATAAGCTGATAGCAAAAAATATTTCCTATAAAAAGTAATTCATCCTGAACGGTCCTTCACATCACGATAGAGTGATTTAATTTTCTTCCGCAGTATCACAATTTATGTATTACCATGTCGTATCATAAAACTGAATAACCCTCTTATCACATTATACAGTGGTAAGTACCTCAAAGGATGGACATCATTTATTAAATAAAATAAAGTGTGTGCGTCTCACGACGGATAGAGGAGCAATAGAGGAATGGTGGGTTCACGGGTGACAAAGCTAGAAGCAGAAAGATGTAACGTTTTTTGCAACTGCAATCCTATACCTCGTCTAAGCAACAGGTGCTTGGTATCTGAGAGTAATACGACAATATTGGCAGTAATGTACCCAATATCAACTGACAAAATAAGAGTATAACAAATATGAATGACAATAAAGAAAAATACAATAGAAATGGTGGGTGACAGATTGATGTAGTTTCTGCAATACTAAATTAACAATTAATTAATATTTTATTTTCTTATTTAAATAACTTTATTTACCATAAGACAATATGGTACAATAATGCTCGTAGCATTCTCTATTCTATTCTCTCTCTCTCTCTCTCTCTCTCTCTCTCTCTCTATATATATATATATATATATATATATATATATATATATATAGAAGGTGAGCGTGGACTTTTTTTTGAACATGTATGTATGTTGATAATTGTCGAACTGTTTCCTTTCCAAACTGTACGCACTAACGTAAATATTGCTTCGTAGTGCTCTACGCTATTTCATACTTGCCTGCGGTCAGTACACAGTTGCCACTATACATGATATATTATTATAGTCTCTGACACTAGTACATTCATAAAGAGCATTCTTGAAAATTTCTAACAAACAAAAAACTAACGCCCACCTGCCTACATCACAAAATATAGTGCGATGCCCATGATACTTCTCACGTGGTTCCATTCCCAAGAACTGAAATGTTATGCCTATAATTTCACTGCCATGTCCCACCATTCAAGCCGAAACACAGCTGCTTCACGGCAACACAGCTACCTACTGAGTAGCGATATATTTTCATTGTAACTTTAAAAGAAACTTTCTTACGTGATTTGTCTTCACTAGCTTTATAAGAACGTTTTTTCCCACCGCTTCTTTAAGAACTACATTTACACTTATCACAATCTATTACTACTTGGGAGGTGGAGGATAATTTTCCATACGCGATTTATAATGTAATTCTCCCGTCTTAATTCCACGAACTGTACAATATTATTTATTACACTTACACCTCGTTAAGCCAGCAATATAAAGGGAAAGGCTCTGACAGTATTACGTACGAGTATACTTAGGATATTTCCGCCTCAAATAATTAACAAACAGGGACATCCCATTTAGAGAAGTAACGCGTGTCTCCCTCGTAATTAATAACAAAGAAACAAACAAAAGAACACTCGGCACCGCTAGAAACGTCTATTGCTAAATACGAGTCACCTCCGTCACAGATAATATAATACTGTACTGGTACCTCCGTGTGTACGTGTCACGTGCTCGACGCGGCGATACCCACTTCAAACCAGTTCATATGGAGACTTTCATCTTCTTAAGAATTCGAGTTACACTCATGTTGAGATATTAATTTGTCATAATAAAAATGACAATCTACGAATAAAACATATGTATTATACTCTTCCAATGTCTCTGGATCAAGTACATCTTTCATCTATGTATTTCTTAACTCATGTTATGCATCCAATTTGGTTTCAAAACATGGAATGGAAATCCTTCCAAAATGGTACACGAATTATCTGATATTCTTTTAATTCCCATATTTTTTACGTGCTCTAACTTTGCATGCTCTTTCTCATTTTTCACTAAAACTATTTACTATTATTACTTAATAAACTTCTCACATTTGCCATTTCTGATTATATATTTACATTGCAATATACCTAGTGATCCTAATGCAAAGTTTTATTTCTTATTTTACTTTTAGTTAAGAAGATGCACGCTCTACACCTCACGGTAACGCTGCTCTTAACACCTATAAAGTGTAACCTTCGTCTCGCCGACTGAGCAAAATATAAATAACTTTGTACGACAATGTAACGTTGAACAGTGCCTACCCTGCGTCAATATTGACTCATGAGCCATCCGCTTCTGCGACGCACAGTTTTAGATTTTCAATGCCGTAAGCAAATAAACCACACATTTTTTGTTGAGTTCAACCAAAGACGTGCTCTTCTACGAATATTATAGACTTTAGAACCCTAATTTTACAAACGATCAAACTTTCCACTTCAGATTTCTATAATATTTTCTTGTAAGCTCACGCCGTTTTCCCTTCGGGGTAAGCTTTTTCTCTATATAAATAAGAATAATCATAAACATCTCGTGAGCTCATTTTATTCTCACGTTACCCTAGTACTCTATTTGTAATTTATTTCCAGATCTTTCTACTAAAATAAACTCAGACAGAATCACTCTTCCTCATTAAATCATCATCATGTCACCATTAACCGTCCACTACTGAAGATATACCTCCCCTTATCGGAAGGTTTTGCCAATAGTTGCTACGTTTTGGCAGACAGGTTGGCAATTGCGTTAAGCTTTAGTGCTGTGTCAAGAGGGATGCTGCTGCTCATCCCTTGACTATTAGGCTTCCTTAGTCGCCTCTTATAACACCCACCAGAGAGGAAGGGGTGGCCCATCTTACACCGAGATCACATGACAACTCGTTAAACCTCCAAATTACATCCACAGTTGTGTTCGTGTATGGGAATCAATTTCTCCGGATATTGATTTTAGATACAATTTTTTTGTGGTCGCTTCGAGTTATTCTCGATAAACAGTCCATCATTTGATATATCTATTAGTCGAGTGTTTACCACCGCCCTCTATTGTTATTAATTAGTATCACTAGTTGTTAAAATGTCAATTTGGGACGTAAATGTTCCGACACGAAGGTCATGAAATTAACATTCTAAACAGTGAAGATATGAATAATGTAATTTCAGATAAATATACTAAAAATCGGTGTGATAGTGAATAATTTAAATAATCGTATAAGTGATGTGCATAATAAGACTAAGTACTTACCTTGGCGGGCCTGGCGACAGCGACGGCAACGGCGGCCGGCGGCGGAGGAGCGGAGGCGCGCGCGCCAGGCGTGCGGCTGCGACGCGGCGGCTCCTCTGTGGGGTTTTAACAGAATATTTATATTGTTTTCGACTGACTGATGGAAAGTGGTAACCGTCGCCTATAGACATGAGCAGTACCATGGACATAACAGAGTATACTGTTTCGCCCATGATACCCCCATGCGTTGCCATTCCTGAGGACTCAGGTGTTATTCCTCTGTACCCAGTAAATTCACGCCAGCTAAGCGCTTTTCTCACAAAACTTTGAACTATTATAAATCATATGTATTAATATCAATCGTCGCAGTTAGACAGCGTCAGGTGAAGAAGTGACACGAGAACAACAGGACAAACCTGTTTGATTATTTTTTTATTTCTATTTATTTCATTTTAATCAATATGTAAGAAAAATAATTTATTAAAACTTAAAAGTATAATCTAATATAATGAAATTGTAACTAGGCGATGTCTGCTTGTACACGGGAGATATTTAAGAAAAACTGGTGTAAGGGATCTTAATAAGAGCAATAGAAGACAAAACAAAAATATTTAGGAATTTTGTTTTTGTCTGTATGTTTGTTTCGGCATCACGCAAAAGCTATTGCACGAAATTAGATGCAGTTTTCACAGTTGTCTTCCTGAAGGTCTTACTTAAAAACTGGTGTAAGTTTTGTCTTTATAAGCCCTCTAAAAATAGTCTATTTTATTTATTTTGCTACTTAAATCCACGCATATGAAATAGCGAACGAGAAGTGTACTAAACAAATAAACAGAAAAAGGATCGCACCGTGTTCCCTGCTGGCGGGCGGCGGGTCGGGCGTGCGCGCGCGCCTGCCGTGCGGCGGCGGCAGCGCCAGCAGCTGCCGGTACAGCTCTAGCTCGTGGTAGAACTCGAGCGAGTCGGGCGAGCCGGGCGAGCCGGCGGCGCCGGCGGCCGGCGGCGGCGCGCCGGGGCCCACCTCGGCCGTCAGCCCGTTGAGCACCAGGCGGCGCGCCGCCATCGCGCCCGCCGCCACAGCCGCGCCACCGCGCTCAGCCGGCGCGCCGTCCGCGCCGCCCGCGCCGCATGCCCACCGCCCACACGCGGGGCCCTGCTCGCCCGTCCTCGTAACCGAACGACTATAGGTTCGACGTTTTTAAAAACTTTTCATAAGTCTTAATAACGTATCAAAACTGCAACTAGTAAAATTCTGTTAAATAAACTCTACTGCACCGGTATACCAGTAACGAATGATAAGTTTTCTAGTTTCGGGCTGGAACTTGATTTGTGTATAAGTTTTATTTCCTGTAGTTTGTCCTGTTATATATTAATTATGGGTACGTTTTCTATATATTCATCACCACGCATCACTAGTAATCATCGTCAATACGCGCGAGGAAGGTACGACGTCGGTGCGATGCTCGCGTCGTGTTGCAACTCGTCGCTCGCCGACTGTCACCGGCGCGACCGTGAAGCCCTGCACAACCTCTACGGCGGGCGAACTTCGCGGGACTGACTGAGCGTAGCGGAGAAGCGGTTGCGTCCCGTAGCCGTAACGCGCTACGAGAGCCACGAAGTAGCTCTACTCTACGCTGATATACTAGTTGGAATGTATTTTTATTATACATAAATAGACAGTACAAATACATATACATATTTAAAGATAAATATTTATTTATGAGCCATTCAATTTCAGCCATTCTTCCATTATTCGAATCGAATATAGGTCTGCCTCATAGACTGGCATAGGGAAAATATACGATCCTGAACATGAGGGGATGAAAGTTCCAATAATGAGAGGTCCCACTCACTCTTAGTAGTCCCATTGCTAACGTCAACATCATCGAGATGGATAACAATATTAATATCTTAATTCAATGTTTGTAGTTTCTTCAGTCACGATCTAGTATTTTTCAACCGACTTCAAAAAGAAGAAATTTCACGATTCGCTTGTTTTTTTTTTTATATAATGTTTGTTACCTCATAACGCTATCAGTTGTAAATCGACTTGCAAATTCCTTTTTAATCTATAAAAATGTCCTTACAGATTGATCTCGTAGAAATTTTATCAAATCAGTAGTTTAGTTTTTAAACCAAAATAACTGGTTTTGCCACATTTGAAGTTGGTTTTCTTTTGTTTTTAATTGTTTTCCTTCCTTTATACCGTTAAACTAACGAACAATTAAAAAGCAGCGACTTCTTTCTTCCATTACATCGTTCGGAACTTTTAGACCTTCCATTGAAAATATTTAAAAAAACGACTACATCTATGGCTCCTAGATAGGCTCTTGTACAGTGATCGAACATGTATGGTCGAATGCCTTTACTTCCCAAAAATAGTTGACTTAATTATTAATTGTTCATTTTATAATATTAACAACTATGCTATTATCATAACTAGTTTAATTACTAAGACGTAATAGCAATATTGTGTATAAAATGTCTTTTCTAATGTAAAACATAAATAATCATGGTGTGACATATAAAATGTAGATGTTAGTCCTATTTGACAACATTGGACATGTGCCTATTCAAATTGATTGGTCTTATTTGAATCTATTTTTTAATAATCACCAACATTAGTGGTATGTCGTTATTTAATTTAATTAATACATTAAATCTTTACTTTGTCATTGTTTGTTTACCCAAATAAATTAAATAAACTGCATGCCTACAATTTTAAATCAATTAAACAGATGGCAAAAAGTTCTGTCATATATGTTAAATGTCTGTCTAAAGCAACTAAATATTTCATTTTCTTTCAGCAATCTTTCATTTCAATTACCTCAAAAGTACAAAATAAACAATGACATACCCTGTCAGATCGACCTCCACGTGGTCCCCCCGAAATACATACATCGTAGTCAATTCCTGGTAAATTTGTCACGATGGACCAAATGACTCTGAGTTCATTCTTATCTATCATCTCTCACTGGTATCCAACAAAGTAAAAAATAGCGCAGTCGGACTCACCATCCCATTCATTTCAAAAAATTTATAATACGATTACGGGAGAGCACCCCTATGTCTCATCCCTGAGACGTAAGAAGCGACTAAAGGGACTTTTTTAATGGATGACAATGAAATACTGCCACCTGCGTTATCAGTATACGGTAGCGGGGCATTTGTGAAGGATTATGCAAGAAGACAAAAGCGGGTCAGTTGGCCCATTATGATGAATCGACTATGAACTAGTTACGACGAATTGTATGGGTGATCATGTGAAGAACAACATTACGGAGCCAGCTAATTCCCTAATTTGGAGGGAAATGGATCGTTAGCAATGGATTTTGACAGCCCCATTGCTAGCAATATGACTTATTAGGTCGACCTCCGCGTGGTTCCCCCTAAAAACCATTGTGAACAATTCTTGTTGAATTCGTCACGATAGGCTAACCGGCCTGCTTCATCCGCACATATCATCCTTCACTGGTGCCCCGCCGATGTATACCGATAGCGCGGGTGGGGTTACCATTTCATTATCACCCATAAAAAAATCCCCTGATTTAAAAATTGTGCTCAGAGAAATTGTTCAATATCTACCCGCGACCAATTTTTACCATCGTACAGCTCGCCAGCGACAGGGAGTTCACGCTTATAAACTAAAACCTAGATACAGTGCGATTTGAGATGTTTTCTCCCACAAACGCTCAGGTTATGAAATAAGCTTACTGTCGAGGTTTTTTCAAAAGACTACAGTAGGGGGTTTTTCAAAAAAGGGGGTAAATTAGTATTTCCAGGATCGGTAACCCGCGCGTTAAACCCCAAGTATTGCAGGCGTTCATAGTCACCGCGTACCATCAGGTGTACCGTATGCTTGTTTGCCATTTGTGGAAAAAAAAAATTACAGAGTACAAAGACACAATAACCTAGTCCCCAAAATGGTAATACATGAAAAATACCATGAACATCAAAAGATAGTAACTTTTAACTAGATTTTTTGCCCGCTTGATACGCGGTCTTGATACGCGTGGATTGCGCGAGTGGAAAACCCGATTAAATAAACTACTTCCAGATGGCGTATGAAGATAAAACGTACTGTTTATTATATACAGTAACACAACTGTGAAAACTGTATATAATTTGTTACAGTAGTTTTACGTGATACCGAAACAAGATTTCTAAAAATTATGCTTATAGCATCTTTTTTATATTTATTATTTGCACAGGAACACTGGGGCTACACAAACGGGATTACAAACTAAGCCACTAATAGGTTCCCACAAATAGAAAATAGATTAGCGGTACTACACGTGGAGCGACAGAAGCAGGAATAAACAAAACAAAATGATCGAATGAAAAACAAAGTAAAAACTTGTGATATGGTGACGTGAATGATGACACGATCCGTGAACATAGAAAAATGTATGGAATGGTTGAAATCACTTCCTAATATTATACTTGAGGTTACTTCAGAGTCGGAAACGTGCGCGTGATACCTTTGGTATTGCAGGCGTTCATAGGCTACGGTAATCACTTACCATCAGGTGGGCCATATGCGTGTTAACCACCTGTGGCATAAAAAAAATTGAAAAAAAATTAAGACATACAAATGGTAACATAATGTTAAAGTTAATTATTATTTATTTATGTTTATGACCTTATAACTTCGGCAGTTCTAAACCGATATGGAAACTTCTTTTATTATCTGTAAACACATACATACAGATTGGTCCTTTAGAAATGTTATCAAAAACGGTTCAGTAGTTAATCAAAACTACTGGTTTTGCCACAACTGATTTTGGCTTTTTTTGGAACACAATCTCAAATTATTGATAGTTGTAAGGGAAATGTATCTCATAATGTGTTATATAATATAAACTATTCTTGACCCAAACAATTTGTATAACTATACCATATCAAGCTAAATTTCCATGCAGTTTGAGTTGAAAGCAATAGTGATTAACATCAGGTGAAATCATCACGAATGGCTGATTTATCAATTTCATTTGCATGTTTTAACGTACGTTTCATAACGCATATCGCGTTAACCTGCAAACGTACTAAAGAACTCGTCTGTCAGCCACGACTTATGGATGCGACTGGAAAATGTATCTACAACAACGTACAGCTCTATCTCTCTTGGGGGGAAAGGAATTGTTAGTTATGGGACTAGCAACCACATTGCCAGCAATGTATCCTATCAGATCGACTTCTACGTGGTTCCTTCTGGAAAGTATCGTGGTTAAGTCTCGTGGAATTCTTCACGATAGACTAACTAACTGGCCTGCTTTCATACTCGCCTATCATCTCTCTAGTGCCCCACTAGTGGGGCCCCTCTGAAATCATACCTATAGCAGAGCATATCTTATACTTTGGTAGATCATGAGCTCGGCGTTCGCTGGTGAAGCCGTAACGGCTGGTTATTGATGGTCAAAACCTCCAGTTACGATTATAGTAAGTCGATTCAGCGGACCCTGGACTCCGGAGCTATGAGGTTTCGGATGCGACCGGTATAAACCGCTAGGATGATGATGATGACGATTATAATAAGTCGATGCAATCCACACTTAGTATAGTAGAAAGTAATACAGAAATAGTTAATGGGCCCCACGTTTTTATTTTAGTCTAATATGCCTAAAAGCTATTCTGCCTAGTACTAAAATATTTCTGAACTAGAAGGTCAAAATACTTACTTGTTATAGTGTGGGCTGCTTAGTTTACCTACCAAGCAAACCCTGGTGTTAGTGTTCTCTCATGAACTGCCTTTCGGCCGCTGACATGGTTCATGTTATGACAACCACTACCATCAGAGATATTAATGACCGAGATCACCTACGTAGGTTGATAGGTAAGTAACTATTTATTTATTTTGTAGTTTTCAGTGCACATAAAATAAAACCGTTTAACTTAAAAGTTTTTTTACCGATTTTTATTATTCATCGAGTGCGTGTCCTGATTTCTCTTTTATTTTTTGTAATGAACAAATTCAAAAACTTAACTATCTAATTGTAAAAATTTCTTTCACCTATAGAAAGTTACATCATCAACGATAAAATATAAGCCATGTTGGGTTTATTTTATTTGAAAAAAAAAATTGAGAACTCCACGAAATTGTAATAATGTATCAATCAGAATATCAAAAAGTTGCTTATAAATCATTATTGGCTTCCGATGCGAAAACAATTACATAAAATAATGTACTACATGTTTGTAGCATTTAAAATTATCCACAAAAAATCAGCAAATTAACGTAGCGCGACGTCGCCGTTTTAATACAATAATAGATTTTTGTTCAAGTTAATCAAAATACGAGTAGAATTGAAAAACGTTGGCATGTGTATCATGATACTAACTCTTACTGAAGTAAATAGTGTCATAATCAAGTTTGATTATGTACCTGTAAATTGCTTTTCAATCGAATTGGATCCTTAAAGGTAACGACAGGTATAAAAATGCTAAAAATGAAACTTGTGGTTTGTATCGTTATTATTTAATACTTGTCCTAATTTAAAAATACTAATTTACCTTTCTACTTACCCATACGAATCTTCGACTGCGGTCTCGAACAGACAGGGGGCGAGGGAATCGATTAAAATATCAAGATCATAGCTCGAATATCATTTATTGCGAAGTGGAATATATTAAACGTTTACATTGCAAAGTGGAGAGATACAACGGAGATCGTCGGTGGCGCGGCTACACGGCGGCGAGCAGCGCGTGCAGGCGGCGCGGGTCGAGGCCGGCGGCGGCGGCGCGCGCGGCGGCGGCGGCCTGCGCCGGCCAGCGGTGCGCCAGCAGCGCCAGCAGCGCCGCCGCCGCGCACAGCGCCGCGCACAGCGGCAGCAGCGCGGGCGCGCGGCGCGTGCAGCGGCCCGCGTGGTGCGGCGGCAGCAGCTCGCGGTCCGCGCACGCGCCGCACGCGCCGCCCGCACCGCCCCCCGCACCCCCCGCACCCTCCGCGCCCGCGCCAGACGCCCGCCGCGCGCGCTCCGCCGCCTGCGCACGGCCACACTCAACCTTCCACGCTATGCAAAACTTTAGTAGTTCGGATGGGTTCGGTAGAGCCCGGAAATTAAAGGTAACGAACGATACATTGAATCGGCAGGAGCAAAGCGAAAAGTAAATTCCGGGACGAACGCTACTCGCTGCGAAAGATGCATCTAGCCGAGTACCATATAGAATTCACATAGACTAATCCGAATCTATAATATTCTAAATTTAAAACTACCGGACCATTTAGACGAATTAAAATCCGTATTCGAAAATCGTCACTGTGCTCCGGCCGCAAATATCTATGAAACACTCGAGGTATCCTATAATCCATCGATGAATATACGTGTGAATCCACTGAGAAGAACTCAACTAAAATTAACAGGCAGTACTGATAGTAGTTCGAATCGCAGGATGCTACGAGACTATCACAGAAATTCTTCATGACGGTAAAGAGGAGGATACCTGCCAGGCGACGGCGAGTAAGCGCAGCGCACCGTCAGCATGCCTCCAATGGCGCAGGTGGAAAAACGAGTACGCGACGGCCTCGCTGTCGCCGCGCTTCAGCAAATGCTCCGGCGGCAGCGTGAGCGGCCGCAGCTCCAGCAGGTACTCCGGCACGTGCGGGTTATACTCGATCGCGCGCCGGATGGCCTCGAGCGCGGCGAGGTCGGCGGCGGCGCGCGCGGCGGCGGGCGCGGCGGCGGCGGCGCGCGCGCGCAGCAGCGCGGCCGAGTAGCACAGCGTCGCCGAGCGCGGCGCGCACGCGTCCTCGTAGCGCGCCAGCACCGCCTGCGCACGCGCCCCGCCACTGACATGTACGCTACACTCGCACGACTAGCAAGCCACAATTTTTAAAAGGCATACATTCGTCTTTTCTCTAATAACTGAACTATTGTTTGCTCGATCGACGAACAACATCGCGTCGGAGCCAAGTTCATCGTTTGTGGACGCACTCAAAGGAATGAGTTTTTTTTATGTACAAAGTCGCTAGCGTACTATCAAATCCGGACAGCATATTTATGTTAAACTGTACACACCTTCTAGCGTTCATCGATCACGAATGTGTTTGTCCGTCTTTGTACGATTGTATTTTAGTTGAATTAGGTTATTCGATATCAGCCATTAGCTCTATCCACTGCTGAAAATAGGCCTCCCCCTTAAGGGGGGTTTTGCCAGTAGTTGCCATGCTTATCAGGCGAATCGGTAACCGCAATTAGGTTTCGATGATTTTTTAGGAGGGACACTGCTGCTCATCCCTCTACCATTAAATTTCCTTAGTCGCCTCTTCAAACATCCACGAGAAAAAGTGGCCTATTCTATATCAAGACAACACGGCTATTTGGCTAGAATTATTTTGTTTATTTCCGCTACTACTGGTATGTAACCGCCAACACTCTTAAGATTGCCCTCTACTATTACTACTAGAAGCTCCAGAACCTTTGATATTAGCGGTTCGGTACTGAAATTGCGAATAATAGTGCCGAACGATTAATGCCGCGGCCGCACCTGCACGTCTGCGTAGGCGCGCTGCTCGAGCAGCACCTCGATGAGGTTCTCGTGCAGCGCGAGCGCGTGCAGCGCGGGCGGCGCGTCGCGCGCCAGCTCGCGGAACAGGCGCGCGGCGTCTCGCAGGCGGCCCAGGCGGCGCGCGCACATGGCGGCGCGCCGCTTCACGTGCGCCAGCACGGCGGCGTCGCGCCGCGCCGCCGCCGAGCCCGCGCCCCCGCCCGCCGCGCAGCTGGCGCGCCACGCCGCCTCGGCGGCGCGCCACGCGCGGCGCAGCACGCGCTCGGCCTCGGCCACGGTGGGCGCGTCCTCCTCGGCCAGCAGCAGCAGCGCAGCGGCGCAGTCCGGCGAGTGGCGCAGCGCCGCGCGCGCCGCCGCCACGCGCGCAGCCGGCTCGCGCTCGCGCCACGCGCGCGCCATCGCCTCCTCGGCCGGGCCCTGCGCACCACGCCCGTCATTCCGTACCCTGGGGCCGACCCCAATCGCAAAGTAGAAGAGCGGGAAACCGCAGCCGCGGATCGAGATAATAGGAAATATTTTATGTGCGTGTTTTTTTTTTTATGCAACTTAAAATGGTAAGCGAACTGTCGGCCCACCTGATAGAAAATGGTTACCGTCGCCTATAAACATGAGCAGTACCATGGACATAACAGAGTATACTGTTTCACCCATGATACCCACCCATGCGTTGCCATTCATGAGGACTAAGATGTTATTCCTCTGTACCCTGTAAATTCTCTGACTTAAATTCATTCATGTCCAAATTAGAGTATTCATTTTACTATACGAGCATTTATCTACAAATGGAAAATCATTGCTCCATGCACGTTTTGATTATTTGGTGACACTCAGGCCCGCGTTAAAGACAAAACTGTGTTACCGTCCCCAATCAATAATAAGAAATATATATATATATATATATATATATATATATATATATATATATATATATATATATATATAGAATAATTTGTTTAAGTACGACATTTTTAATAAATTTAAATTAATAAATAAAGAATAAAATAAATACTATTAATTACTATTAAATAAAATTAATTTATTCGTTCAAATAATAGTGGAGCCAAATTTCTATGCTTAAACCAATTTTGATGAACACTTAAAAGTAATTATTGTCGTTCGCCAAAATCATAGAGATTCGTTCCTACCATGGTTCCCACTATTTATGTATAGGTACGAACTAACATTGAAAATAATAATATATTACAAAGATAAATAGTACTCAAAATTACGAGGGTAGATCGAAATATTCGCAGCCTAACACATAAATACAATTTTAATTTAACTGACCTCATTCGATTTGCTCACTCTCTGGTTGTCACATTGTAAAATTCTATCGCAATAGCATTATCTGTTTTTAAATTAGACTGAATTTTGTGAGCCTAAGTATAGCGTTTTTAAAGAATGGGGAAAATTGACCAACGTACGGTCATCAAATACCTGTTTAAAAAAAAAACTAACTCCAAAAGAGATTCACGAAGATATGTCAACAACATTGGGGGAATCTGCTCCGTCGTATACAACTGTGAAAAAGTGGGTTGCAGAATTTAAACGCGGACGATAAAGTATTGACATCTTCAATACCCTCGCTCCGGCGGGAAAATCTGTGATCTGATATTGGCAGATCGGAGATTGACCATCAGGGAGATTGCAGAAACTATTGGCATATCGTATAAACGAACACAAAACACCACAGTCAATGAACTTGGATTTTCTAAGGTTTTTGCGCGGTGGGTACCCAGATTGCTTTTAGTTGAACAAAAACGAATACGGCTCACGATTTCTCGCGACTGTTTGGAAATGTTTGAGGCTGATCCACAAGATTATTTGGCCAGATGTTTTCTCATTCTTTTAAAATAAAAATTAATTATCACTATATCAGCTATCTACTGTCCACTGCTGAAAATAGGCCTCTTCAAAAGCGGGAATTGTCCCAGTAGTTGCCACACTTGGCAAATGGATTGAGAACCGCAGTTAGGCTTTAGTAATGTTCTAAGGACACTGATGCCCATCCCTCAACCATTAGGTTCCCTTAATCACTTCTTACAACACCCACAGGAAAGAAGATATGTCCTATTCTATGCCAAGACCACATGACAACTTAAATAATTTATTTAAACTTTAATGCACAAAATATGTACATTTGCTGGACTTAACACCGGATGGTGTTCTCTACCAATCAAACATTGGGCAAACAGAAAAATTATTAGGTGGTGCATTCATGAATTGAGGAAACATAAAGTAAAACTTATTATATCCATATATTATAAACATATATTAAAATAAATAAATACATATACATATAATGAATATATATATATATATATATATATATATATATATATATATATATATATATATATATATATATATATAAATAAACTACATAATATAAATACACTAAAAATTGTCATAATAAGTAAAGTTAGTAGGGTATATACAATTGTAATATTATTATACATGTAGGCATATTTCTTCATAATGTATAAGGGTATTCTTTAAATAAGTGTTTGTTTCAGATGCTGTTTATCTCAGCATAACCCTTCCAAATATAAATTAATGTACTAAAGTTTACATTCTTCACTTGTCAAAAAGATTTTATTTTAAATTAGAGCAATATAAAATATCTAAACATAAGTACTTGTTTCATTGCACATGTTTTTCATAAAATATGAACTATTTACATTTCAAAATAGCTAAGTCCTTTACAACAACAGTCAATATCAATATTTTGAATCTACGTATACATAGACAGTGGTACAACACATAATCATTCATTTCATTGTGTTGTTGCTTCAAAAAAGTAACTAATAAGTAATTATTTCTTAAGTTTCATGGCTTTAAAACCACTGTCAACTCACAACAATAATAATGATACTCACTCTACAATTTTAATATTTTGGTGATACCTCATCTACAATATATCTATAACTATTACAGAAACTTTAATAATGACTTGTAACCTTGTACAATGCAATCTAGTTATAATAGACAACAACACATTTATACCTACACTATGAACACAACCATGGAAATGCAGCTGCTATATGACAGAAACATGAGCGGAATAATAATTGGTATATTTAGTAAGTACACACAGCACACAGCTAAAAATGAAAAGGTCACAGGCTTTCCTGCCTAAAAAAAAGTCCCTATTTCAATAATAATAGTAAGCAATAGGAAGTGAATTTAAACATATGAAAGCAAAACTAGAACATAAGACACTATATCCATAAAACACAGTGATAATTTTAAATATTTTACAATTCTAAAAATTGACATTTAAATATTTTTTTTTAATGGGTGATAATGGAATGGTAACCCCACCCGCGCTATCGGTATACACCGGCGGGGCACCAGTGAAGAATGATAGGTGAGGATGAAGCAGGTCAATTAGCCCATCGTGACGAATTCAACAAGAATTGTTCACGATGGTTTCCAGGGGGAACCACGTGGAGGTCGACCTAATAGGGCATATTGCTAGCAATGGGGCTGTCAAACTCCATTGCTAACAATCCTTTTCCCCCCAACATTTAAATATTGTCAAGACAATTTTTACACACTTCCTTGAAATTATTTGAAAACTGCAAGGAAAGTAAACTATTCACTATGGATATTATATATGAAATGCAATACAAAATGAATGATATGAAGTTCATTAGCAAGCAAATTGAATGAGTGACACATTTAATTCATGCCTGGGTCACTTACTATAATATTCCTCTGGTAACTTGATTTTACAGTATTTAAGTAATTAAATTGATATAATTTTATAGAACTGTTGTTAAATATGAATATTACCACTTCTTATTAAATAAAATTTTGATTGATTTATACTATGATAGTTTTTGCACAAAAATAACAGTCTTCTATAGCACAGAGCATTTTATGACACAGAGGAACAGCCCTCGAGATAATTTTCTAAATTATAAAGACTGACAACCTAAAGTTACAATTGCAATCAATAATTTATTATTTTGTCTCATTTTATTTGCTAAATTAAATATTTTTGAGCAATTGTGTAACTGCATTAAGAAAATGTAATCCCAATTTGTTTCAGTTAGCAATTACCTTTTAAATACTTTTAAGTAAAAAAGAAAGTTACAACTGATTATAATTAATAAGAATTCATTTTCCATATCGTACAACAGTTCTCTATCACACATTTACATTAAACTGCCTATTACTTACAAAATAAGAGAATATTGCTGATGTTCTTTGTACAGAATTATTTAATTCTGCTTTTAATTATGTCTATTTATTTCAGCTTCCTACATATATACATTTATTAATTTTCAACAAAAGAGTTAGGACAATATTATATGGACGAGTTTTCAGTTTGTAGAGAAATGCCCATATAAAAACTGTAACATAAACATGTACAAGCTTCATTATATATAGCATCTGATATCTTGACAGTGGAAGTGAAAGAGAATCAATAGGTTTTTTGTTAAGTACGGACCTCGGCCCCACAGCTGAACCACGCCTGGTGATCCTGCGCAGACAGGTTCATGTCATAGTATGTGAGCGGCGCGCGCCGCGCCGCACCCCACAGTCGGCCATACTCGGCGCCGCGCAGCAGCGACATCGGGTTGCGCCACACCTTGTATTCAGCGGGGCCGCTCGTGGCGCCCACGCCGCCGCCACCGCCGCCCTCGGACTCGGCCCCGGTGCCGCCGCCGCCGAGCCACGGGCCCAGGTGTGTTAACGAGACCTGCTCAATGAACGACGTACCATACTTGCGGAAGTACCACCACTCGAATATGAGAATGAGACCGGAGATGAGCGACGACGTGCCCGTCAGAGCTACGTAAAACTTGGGCGTGAGAGCGCCGAGAAACGCGGCCGAGTCCCACATTCCGCCACGGACCCGATCGGTCCCACCCTTTCGCCCGCAGGAAAGTTTGAGTTTATCGAGTGATCTTCCGGTGACTCCGAACCGCTCCGGAATCTATCAACCAGCCCGGTGAACGATCGAACATTATACGTGCAATGTGACAAAAGAAATCCCTCGCTAAAAAATCCACATAATAAATTTCATTCGTTTTCTAACACAAGATATATTATTTAAAATTCTGAAATATCTCGTTTTGTTTAGTTCGTTAAATGACACTTAAATCACTCGCTCACAAATTTTTCAGCATAATTTTACCGAGTAATAATTAATTTCAAAAAACTATGAAACAATTGCCTCAAAAGTACAGAAAATTAATATTGATATCGATATAAATTGTTTTTGTTTTAGAATTCACGTAGAAAAAATTAAAACTATAAAACATGTACAGATTAGAGAGAGAATATCTGAAGAAAACGTCATTTATTCATAGTTACAGATTATTTCATTATTGGGGCCGATTCTGAGGCACCATTTCTCTAAACCTTTTTCTTAACTTATATTTTAATTTCATAATTTCGCAAATTAATTTTTTATTAACTATCATAAACTAAAATTACAATAATTTTGCTATATATCGATAGAAAATTAATTCACATTGATTCTTATAAAGAATATTTCGATGTGATATCAAATTAGAATTGTAATTTTAAAGAAATAGTGACTCAGAAACGACCCCACTGACTTTTATCGCAATCAGTCACACTACGATAATTTGGATCATTGAAAAGCATCTAAAACCAAACCTAAAACTAATAAGTACAACATTTACCGCCCAATAAATGGTACTATTCATATTCTACATATGTTCATTATGTACCATACACGGTCAAACACCATATTCAGGTATACTAATAGGCAGTTAATAGCATAAATCAAATTGACCCTTGGAAAAGAAATGGAGAACAACAGTAATTTAATCTAACTAATATAATATAATTGTTCGTGTTTTAATCGTGAAGCAGTTGTGTTTGCATAGCTGTGTTTCAGTTGGAAGGGTGGGATATGGCGTGAATTTACTGGATACAGAGAAATAACACCTGAGTCCTCAGGAATGGCAACACATGGGGGGTATCACGGGCGAAACAATATACTCTGTTATGTCCATGGTACTGCTCATATCTATAGGCGACGGTTCCACTTTCCGTCAGGTGAGCCGTCAGCTTGTTTGCCATTCTAAGTTGTATAAAAAAAAATCTAAACGATATTTGTACATGGGAGACTTAAAATAAATTAATATGAATTATTTTGTCATAATAATAAAATAGATGCCAGAATATATTTTTTTTTAATTTTGTCTGCGTTTGTTTAGGCGTCACGCAAAAACTACTGAACCAAATTGAATGTGGTTTTACCAGTTAAATTCTTAAAAGACTAAAATAAAACTTATGTATGTTTCATCTTGATTTTTTTTCTACAACACAGGGGGCTCACCTGATGGTAAGTGATTACCGCCGCCCATGATCACCCACAACACCAACGGCATTGCAGGTGTGCATACATCATTTAAAAGTGATCTATTTTTTATTATAAAAAGCTAATATGTAGCATGTGCTTAACCAATCACGAGATCGAATAAATTCTAAGAACAAGGATGCCTGTTATCTTTCATGGACATTAAAATAAAAGTATCTTAAAATGGCTAAGATTTAAAGCAATTGGTAAAAAATTCCATATTCTACGTATTTTTTATAGACGAACATTAAATAGTAACGCCATCTAAGCTTTAAGAAAGGCATAAGCTGAAAACCTCTTGGTAGAACAAGGAATATAAAACTCGCGGTAGAGTTTACAATATTTCTTACTAGAATGATTTCTACTAAGAAATATTGTATTTAATTTCTGAAAAATTAAAAACCATCACGAAGAACGAGCCTTATTTTATTCTCAGCTATTACTTCACTGGTTTTTCCTGTACTCCGTAAGTGAATACCAATAAAGAGTTTAATTGGGATCGATTTTGTGATGCCATTCTATACCTATCTCTAAAAGTAATGTTTCATTTTCATATCATAACGAAATCTATTCTTTATTTGAGTCAAAATTATTTTAAAAATTAGTTTATTATGGTCCATAAAAAAAATTAATTTCATAAAACTATCAAAAATAAAATATTTTAAGAAGTAGGCTTAGAGAATTGCGATTAGACGATTTTAAGTTAATGATAACGAGGACGATTCCCCATTAGCTATCTATTGAAAAAAGTTGTCATGACTAACATACTTCTTATGAAATTTTTGAATTCGACTAATCCATGTTTTTACAAAAACACAGTCTGAAAAGCCACGAACTTAATACATAACGTACTCATTAAAACCGTACTATGTACCCTGTGTACTTAACTAATTGAACAATACACCTACAAAAACCAAAATTATTATGAGTATTAAACAAAACAGTTTTCTTAATATTTGTATAAATTAATCAGTTCGTTATTCTATAGAAGAGACAAGTAAAGTTAAAAACATATCGAATGTTTTTTTTTTTTAAAAATAGATTTTCTAGTTTATCTAATAAGTCTCCAGTTACAGTTGGTAACACTGTTGGAGGCGACTGTCAACTGTCACTCATACAGCTCGTCTGTCAGTCAAAATACCCTTTCCTAAAAAGACATATACGTCTTTTTACGTAATAGTTACTTAATTAAAAATCGAGTTTTGAAGTCTAACCTCGGCAAGAAATTAAACAGAAATACAAAATGTTGGGTCGTCTGGGCAGGAAACATGTTGAAATTGCGGCATCATTCGCATCAACAGCTGTTGGTTTCGGAGGCGCTGCTTTCGTCACTCTCCTATACTTCACGGATTGGAAGGTGTTCGTAGCTAATATTCCCTTCTACCGTGGCAAATTCAAGGAGGTCGAAGAAAAGTAAAGTGATCTCGGTTTAATTATTACTTGTGCTATGAGAATTCTTTAGATGTATATAAATAAATAAGTTGTCAAGTACCAATTTTATTGCTTATTTCTACCGTACATTTTATATAACACATTTTGGTCAGTGAGTACCCCTAGGTTTGATTTAAATTTTCACACAGTTTAATAAATTTAATGAATTATCCAGCAGAACATTTCCACTTTATTGAAATGACAATTAATGATAACTTTTTTTATGCAATTTAGAATGGCAAACAAGCTGACGGTCCACTTGATGGAAAGTGGTAGCTCTCGTCTATAGACATGAGCAGTACCATGGACATAACAGAGTATACTGTTTTGTCCATGATACCCTCCATGTGTTGCCATTCCTGAGGACTCAGGTGTTATTCCTCTGTAACTTCACTGCCATATCCCACACTTCAAACTAAAACACAGCTGCTACATGGTAAAAACACGATTGGGACAGAGGTGCCCAAGCAAACGACTTTTGTACAAAGTCTCCCTCTGGTAATTTCTTTTTTTTATACCACTGAGGTGGTAAGTGGTTACCGTAGCCTATGAATATATTATCCTAAAGACTATGCACATACACCAGTGCATGGTCTATGATAACATTTAATAGCTCTTTATTCCTGTCATATTACTGAGATTAATAATATATGAAAGGGATTGTTAGTAATGGAGACTGAGAATCCCATTGCTAGCAATATACCCAACCAGGTCGACCTCCTCGCAGTTCCCCCTGGAAACTATCATGTTTAATTCCTGATGAATTTATCATGATGGGCTTACTGGCCTGTTTTCATTCTCATCTATCACCCTTCACTGGTGCTTCGCCAGCGTATCCCATTAGGGCAAGCGGAGTTACCATTACCATACCATTTTCACCCATAAAAAAAGAATGTATATCCCAGTAATGCAGATGTTGTTAATATATATTGTTGTATATCAATAATTCAATGTGTCAGAGTTTTTCTAGAACCACCCTCACTGTTATAACTTTTTATGGAAAAAGCTATTATTATCTAGGGTACTAGCACATAACCTATCATCAGTTGTAATACGCCATTCACAATAAAAAAACATGATTAATTTGTGTTATTCCTTATTTGATATATAATATATATACATATATATATATATATATATATATATATATATATATATATATATATATATATATATATATATATATATATATATATATATATATATATATATATATATATATATATATATATATATGCATTACTGAGATTAATCTTTCATCCTTATTGGTAAACCAGGACCTTAGGGGGGGGAGGAAGGGATTGTTGGTTATGCTGACTACCAGTCCCATTACTAATAATATACCCCATCAAGGCAAACTCCCCATGGTTTCTCCTGGAAACCAGTATGCTGAATTCCAAGTGTAATCATCATGATGTATCTTGTAATATTTGGAATGACAAATAAGACAATAAACCACATGCCTGATAGCAGTTGCCTGCACATATGGAATGTGATTTAAACATTTATTTTATCAGTATATATTTCAAGTCATATTCATTTATTCATAGAACATGACATTGCTACTTGTGCAGTTGTGTACCTCAATATTCATCCTGTTATCTAATTAAAAAACATTAAATCGCCAATTATCGCAAGTCCTAAAGATTGACTGGAACAGAATGCAATAGCAACAAGTCTGCCTTTTTCACCACATTTTATTGATCAATAAAATTTAAATAAATAATAAATTCAAACTTACAAAGTCAACAAGAAACCCCTGCTTTTGTTTTAAAATATTGTGAATAAAAATCTTTGGGTATTAGAATAAATATTTGAAATAAAAACACTAGTTAAATTACGTATAGGATTTATTTATGACCAAATCTACAGTGACCAAGATTTAAAAAAGTGCAAATAATTACCTAACTTACGTGAACATCACTAGGCACCTTTTAGATACCTTACATGTTATTACAAACAAGATTAGCTATGACATAATCATAAAATTAAAATATTTAATCAAATAATTACTAGCATAACACAGATATATGAAGTAGAAATCTGTCTATTACCTGTTGAAGCATCACATTTTCAGCCCTCACTTCAACTAATCTGGCTTAATATGCAGTGTTTTCTTTTCTCCCCAATTAAATACAATTACCAATTTATAATTATTGACTTGCAGTTTTATATTTGTTTAAAATAAATAATTACTTATTTATTCATGTACCTAATTCTTAGTTGTTGTACTCATATTGTGCATTACTTCTTTCACTCTGGTTGACACTGGTATATTTTATCATGTTATATGTAATAGATAGGGGATATTTCATTTCGTATTATCTCATCTGTCTAACTTCACACTTTCATTGCAACATTATAACCCAAGTACCAGTATGTTTTTTCTACTTAGCTATTACTTATTTATTTCTTTAATGCTGAAATCAAACAAGATTCATTTACATTATGATATTTGTTTTAATACACTCCGTAATCGCTTTGTAACATATAACATTCAATCGTCGTCATTCTCATTCCTGTAATTGAAATAAGTGGTCCAGGGTTACATCCTGACAGAGGTTTGCTTCGACTTAAATCAACAGGTGTTTGTCGACATTGTTTCCACTCCTCTATGAGTGTTTTTCTTTACACTATTATATAAACTCTAATGCCTATTAATTACATGTTTTATACTTTAATAATACTTAATACAAACAAGTTAGGTACTGCTTCAGTGAGCATGAGCAACACTAGACAAGTAAAGTAAATCACTAAATATTCATTATTAGGTAAATAAGTAACTAGTAATATCAAACATTCATAAGCTTAGTTGTTATAATTTCCGAGTTTAATATAAGATTAAATAAGTACCTACTGTACACATAGCAACGATTAAGTACATTTTAGGTATTTATTTAGTATTTTTATAGGTACCTGCACTCCAGTTGTGGCATCTCGTTAGCTATATTATAAAGAATAGCCATCTTTTTTTAATGGAAGCGAATTATTCTAAATGCGACGTAAGTTTAATTGTTTTAATTAAATATAATATATACTTAAATATGTAGAAGTATCGAAAGAGGTATAGAAGTGCATAAATAGGTATTAAGACACCTAAATAAAAAAAAATAAACATGCAAATTACAGTGAATCATATTATCACAATGTTAGAAGTGATAATCGCTTACAGCGGTGGGATCTTATACAGTGGCTATGCCAGTAACTTATCTCCAATTTTTCTTTTATGTCATGGTTGTCGATGCAGGTAAGTAAATGAACCTAGGTATTTGTTGAACATTAAAACTCTAAACCCATAAATAAATATTTGGCAATAATTGAACTGCAGCATGTACTCCACAAATGTCCCTATCTCCCACGAGCGGACGACGTCAGCGCCGTATACCGACGCGTTTCGACGACTGTATTGTTTAGTTTTATTATTAGTACTCTGTGGATATAAGAAAGAGTCTCTAAAATAAATAAATCAAAATTCTCAATTGTGTATTGTTTCTTTTGGCCCGTAAGAAAAACCCCTATCCTATAGAACACAAACCTATGCTTTTAACCTCGGAACTGCTTGGCTCTTTCGACACTGAAGTGTGACTGTAAGAACGCCGAGACCTAAAGCCACAGGATTTATTTTTGTCTCGAAGAACCCACCGCACCCACCGGGGCCATCGAAGAACCGGTTTCACTCGATTTCAAACATAACATAACCTCGGATTAAAATTTACGTACTTATATCTGTTTACCTGCGCGGGCGCATCACCTACGCATGGAGAGAAGGTACCTATAGCCATTAGTATATGGAGAAAAGGGACGGCTAAGTTGTTTAATTATTTTTAGGCCTACAATTTAGGCGCTTACGTTTGCATCATTTCTATTTGCGAATAATCATCAATCCAACGGCGGTGAACAGATAACTTTGTAAACGTTTTACGACTTCAATCGTCTAAAAGACATTTATTTATAAAATAATAAGAACATGTTCAAAATATTGTATCTACGACCTTCTATAATACTACTTTTAGCGTAACATCAGCAAAGAATGAATAACTTCCTCTACGTCCCCGGACTGACGAGTGCTTAATAGGCGAGTGATTTTTTAAATTAACAAAAATAATACTCGAACACGAAGTCGATACGCAAACTTAATATGGCTAAATAGTGTACGCGGCCAACATGTATTATGGGCTAGGTACGCCAGGGCACACTCGCAACGTAAGAGTGGGGTGGTGCGGCCTAGTAGCGCAGGTCGTTGTCCCCGTCGCCGCTGCCGCCGCCCGCCGCGTCCTCGTCGTCGGCCGGCGCACCCTCCGCGCCCTCCGACCCCTCCGCGCCCACCGACCCCTCCGCCCCCTCCGAGGGCTCCGCCTCCGTCTCGTTGCTCACTACATTCAATACCGACTTGTCACCTGTAACACCACATCATCAGCCAGACTTTGGTATACGATTTTGTATAATAATAAACTCTTTATTGCGCACAGTAGAGATGTATACAAGGAGTATTTATACAGAATGTGCATATACAAAAGGCGGCTTTATCGCTAAAAGCAATCTCTTACAGTCAGCCTGGCATAAAGAATGGATAAGTACAGAGAGAAAGGTAGATGGCGCAAATCAGACACAGTAAATGCATAAAAGGAATCAGACAAAATGCAAAATATTCTAAATATAAAAATAAGATTACAATACATAAACATACATATATAATATAAATAATAATACATAACATAAATATACTAAATAGACCAAGATAAATCACACGTAGTAAACGTCAAAGCAAATTGGAGAGATAGGTAATGAGATTTTACCTGCCTCTTGAATGAGGCAAGAGATTGCGCTGATCTAATAGAAAGAGGTAAGGAGTTCCAGAGATGGATAGCTTGGTATACGATTTGGTATCTATTATATTACACGGAAAACTGCAGTTGTTTTTCTTTTCAATGAAACTTGGTAAGTGGAAGTAGACGAGCTACCGGCCCACCTGGTGGAAAACGGTAAACCTCATCTATCAACACGTGCAGAACCACAGTCATCACCGAGTACCAGGTGCCGCTACTGTACCACCGTTCATATGTTGCCATATCTCTCACCCTTCGAACCTTAAGTATAACTGTTTGGTAGCAGAAATATGAAAGCGAAAGAGGTGTGATTAACTGTTACAAATGACCCTGCGTTGCTAAATTGTACTACAACATTAAAAACTAATATTCCTTTTTTTATGATTAGTCTAGACCAGTGTTTTTCAGAATGTGGGTCGCGACTCCTTGGCCCTCTACAAGGAGATCGCGAAACATTAAAAATCAACAGTTCCGTAAATACATCAATCAATCAATCAATAATACATAATGAAGTATCTATAACAGACATCGATTACACGGCTGTTTTAGATACTTTATTATGTACTGTTCATTTTATTTTATCGATGCCTAACTGTAAATATAAATACAACTGTATGGACTTCATAATTGTACTATAATAAAATTCATACACATTCGAAACCATGCAGGGTAGGGACATAATAACAACATATTTTTACATAATAAGGGGGTCGCGTCATGAAAAAGATTGACAAACACTGATCTAGACCATTATTCGACTATCTAGACCATAGAGCTTCTCCTTGACTTATCTGTCATAAGTAAAATCAAGAAGCATAGTATTTAGATTATACGCCTTGAAAAACGAAATGTATTATCTGATGTATTTATTGCAACTTTTGATTATAGATATTAACAAAAATTGGAATTAACGAAAACCGCCTGTTGGATAGCATTAAAACGTATTTAGATGAATTGAAGGTTCGGTTACAAGAATATTTTCCAGATAATAATAATTACTTATCCAAAAGATGAGTTCTCAATCCGTTTGATGATAATATTATTGCAGCTGCTGATTTACGAACTGAGACTCATGATCAACTCATTGTCCTATCGGCTGGTAAAATTTTACAACTGGAATTTTTATCTCAAATTTTAGGAAAATGTTTGGCTGCTCGACGACATGGGTACGGAAGCCTAGTAACGGAAGCTTTGAAAACATTGATACCATTTGCTACTTCTTACTTATGTGAAAAAGATTTCTCATCTAATAACAAACGTGACCCTCGGGCGGGAAACGATGATCTAGACCGACTAACTTCTTAAACTTTAAACGTACTAGTCTACGTGGAAGTTGTTAATACATTCATCATCATCATTTCAGCCATTATTTGTTCACTGCTAGACATAAGCTTCCCCCATAGACTGTCATAAGGAAGGTCCTAAGCCATCTACATCCACTGACTCCCTACAACGCATTTCAGGTCGACATTCTATTTAGTGGGGGATCGTTCTACACTGCATTAATATATTAGCGACTATAATTTATTTTTATGTATTTCTAACGCCCGACGATTAAATTTCGATTCAGGGATAGTATCCGAAATGCTTGAAATATTTATGATAAATAAATCGTATTACCAAAAATTTAACTGGTAGGCAGAAGCGGGAAGGGACCGGCCGACAAGGTCAAATATTTATATCATGTTTTCATATGTATAGGACTAGTCATCACTACTTATGCCACTCAATAGTTCCAGAGATTCAACCAATGGGATTAAAAGAGGTGGTTCCATACTGTAGACTTAGTAGAAAGTTATAGAGCGTGCGAGGCCGTACCTGGGCAGGAGGGCGCGCCCCTGGTGCGCGAGCCGGGCCGCTCGACGCCGTGCGCGTCCACGCACCAGCACACGCCCAGCGCCGCGTGGCACTGCCGCGGGCGGTAGTAGCCGCGCGCGTCGCACGCCGGCACGTACGCGCCTGCCGCACGCGTGTCTTGGTCTCACACATATGTATATGCAATATGCTGGTTACCCCGGGAAACCATCCTAGTTAATTCTTGTACAATCAGTTAGGCACCATGGGCTAGCTGACCTGCTTTCATTGTCACCTATCATCTCTCAGTGGTGCCCCACCAGCATACACCGGTAGCGCAGACGGAGCTACCATTACATTTTCGCACATTAAAAAAAATACTCAGGTTATAGAATGAGTTTCCAATCGAAGCTTTTCCAAGAAACTACAGTATGAGGTTCTTCAATATAGGGGTAAAAGGAGAGATTATTAGTATTACGAACTACCAGTTCTATCGCTAACAATATACCCTATTAAGTCGACTTCCACGTGGTTCTCCCTGGAAATCATCGATTTGAATTTCAAATGTTTTCATCACGATGGGCTGCCTGCCTTTTCACGCCCGCGCCCCGCCCCCGCCCCCGCCCCCTCGTACCTGCGTGCGGCGCGGGGTGCGCGCGCGCCAGCGCCGTGCAGGGCCGCGCGGCGCGCCGCAGGCAGCCGCACCACGCCCGCGCCCCGCCCCCGCCCCCGCCCCCGCCCCCGCCCCCGCCCCGCCCCTCGTACCTGCCGGCGCGTGCGCGCGCGCGGGGTGCAGGGCCGCGCGGCGCGCGCGCGCCACGCCCGCGCCCCGCCCCCGCCCCCGCCCCCGCCCCCGCCCCTCGTACCTGCGTGCGGCGCGGGGTGCGCGCGCGCCAGCGCCGTGCAGGGCCGCGCGGCGCGCCGCAGGCAGCCGCACCACGCCGCGCGCCCCACCGCGCCCGCCGCGCCGCCCGCCGCACAGCTCGACAGGAACGGCCGCAGGCACCGCTCGCGCTCGTCGTGCCCTACCACATCGACCGCACCCGCTTACACTCAAACCGATTGTACTACAACATATCGGTTTGGTACAGATAAACAGTTTTAACGACAAAATTGAAACTCATTCAAATTAGTTTTAGAATAGAATAGGAAACAGTTTTTTCTTAGCCGCTAGTTTAAAAAGATATAAATATATTTTTCGACGACATTTTCACCATCTCAATTGGGCTTTACAAAATACTCACTGAGAGAATACAAATTAGCAGGTGACAGGAGACCGTCGCCGTCCGTGTCTAGATGAGCAAACATCCAGCGAACTTCAGGTTTGCAATCGCTCGGAAATCCTGCAAGTAGCGAAGGTATTATTTTAACGATTGTACGAGTGTTAACAATATTATTTTGAAAAGAAGCATACATACATATATACATATCTTTCGCGCCCGTCTCCCACTAGGGTAGGCAGAAACAATGGAACGACAAATACTTCGATTCAAACAGATCTCTTTCGCTTTCTCCACATTCATCGTATACTTTGATCATATTTTTTCGTATACCCCCGCCATTTACAGGTACTTTTAATGTAGACCCTCTTCAGTACATAGCCTATTTGGTTGGCATACGTCCAACTAGGGTGACCCCAACATCTTCGTTTATTCGTGCTCAATAACTCTTTCGTAATTCTTCTTTCATCCATTCTTTCTAAATGGCCAAACCAATGCAAGATTCACACCACACTTCTCTCTAACCATACTAATTCTCACTCTATTTTTAATGTACACACATACTCCTCAGAGCTCTCATCTCAACAGCATTTATCCTACTTTCATACTTTTTCTACAATACCCATGATTCACATCTATACATGAGTGTCGGTGTCAGTGCTCCCTAAGTTACGACAAGGCTAGCTTTGCTCGACACATTTTTGCTTGCCATAATTGAGAGCACTGCCCCGTTAACACTGTTTCCCGTTTTCACTCTCGTATCAATATTTCCCTCACATTTACATCTATCCATCCATTCATCATGAACTCGAATATAAAATTCACTCACCTGCTCCACTTTTCTACCATTATCTGGCATGCCAATAAACTTTCATTCCTATCAAAAACCATTACCTTCGTCTTTTTTGCATTAATTTTTGTACCACTTTTTGGATATATAGTTTATCGTTTTTTAAAATATCCCTTGAGTAATAGGTATCTTCATCATTAATCTCAATAAAGGCTCAGATCCAAAAGTGCGGAATTGAATACTACAGAGTAGATCGAACCATTTGGATTACAAATACTACATACTAAACATTATGTTACCATATATTTTACCTGTTTAGAAGCCCAGTTCTGAAACCACAGTTATGTTTTTTACAAATAAAAACTCATTTCATTTCACCTTTTTCTGAGCAGTGCGACAATGCAAGCGTTAGGTTCGGTTGAAACCGTTAAATACATATTTCTTATATACTACAAGGATTTCTTATACGCAAGATTTTATTCATGTTCATAGACAACGCTTTACTGCTGCTGACTGCATGCAAGTAGTTAGCCCTGGTGCAAGAGTTTCTAAAAGAAGGTCTTTGAAGTGCTCTTCGTAGGACGAAGAAAGTGAAATACTTTCTTATAATCCTGACAGCTAAAAAGCTTCAGACTATATGTAAATTTTAGCTAAGGTTTGATCTTATGGTCTTCAGACCACAAACAAATATTTTCCTGAACTAGTTGTTATTTTGCGAAAGTCCATGCCACTGGTAAGTTGAATAGAATTATTTTCTTTGATACCGCTACCATTAGTATGACGAGCTACTGCCAACACTTGAAGATACCTCGTATAAAAAATTCTAATGAACTAACCACAATGAAATACTCACCGAATGCGATCAAAAAGAATGACCACGAGATTTATTATAAAGATTTTTAACAACTTAAAAATTATGAAGATGAGGTAAGCAATTTTTTTTTATTAGTAAACTAACCTTCTTCTGGTGCAGTAGTAGCTCCGGCTTCTTCCATAAGCACTGAAAACCAGTCGAGTAGACGGTTTGCCATTTTATCAAGAGCGCAGCCCTCGCTTCCTATGTAAAGAATAAACAGTAAGATCACTTAAGCTCTTATACGCACTCACTTTATAAATATTTTCAGTTTAACTTATTCTAATTCTAGTTTTAATTTATTGCATCTAATGTACCTTGCGATAAACGCCGTCTTGAAGAACGTTCTGGCAAAACTTCATTATGTGAGGATTCTGACTTTCGTTGTCTCCAGTCCTGTAACATATTAATAATTAATTCCTTTATTACCTGCATCACTTCTTGACTTCATAGTAATTACTATTCATAGTTATAAGGTGCTTTAATTTCAACATTTAATTTTATCGCGTTGGGCAGCCTTGAACACCAAAATTATCTTCACACTATCAAGCTACTTATAACCTATATATAAGGCAAATAATATAAGAAATATAAAGAATATAAGGTAACGAGTGAAACACGAGTGGAGGTACAGTCATCAGCGAAAATAGGTGAACACAACAAATTATTGATTTTAATGAACATTGTTTGTTTCAGAATAAACTGTTTGACAATAAAAATAATGCTTTAATGTCATCCACATAGTCTAGAGATTTTAAAAACAATAATCTGACATAAAAATACATTATTGATTGTGCATTTAATTCCGAAAAAATATCTTATATTTATCAAGTACCACGTGACCGAAAACAATCTGACGTGACGAACATACCTTTTCTTTTTTGGGAATAAGTAAAACTTAACAAAAATAAAAGACGTGTAGGACACTAGGCGATTATTTACTTCCCCGTGACGTCATTGACGCCATATTGTTTAAAAATTGCGTTTTGGCGACTTATTTAAATTGTACTTTTTTTTACTATTTATTTAATGAAATATCTATGTTAAATTAAAATAACTATTTTTGGGGTTCTATAAATACCACTAAATATTCGGAGATAGTTTCCAGAAATCAGTCAAACAGTCTATTGAGCAGCATCAACATAATTCTAAAATTGGTGATCAAAAATATATCAAACATTAGCTAATAGTACAGCTGCCAATTGTCTACGATCACTAACTCCAAAAGTCAGAAATGCAGTTAGCATCCGTAGCTGTCTAATATAATAACAGCAGTGTGAGTGACACAGAACGATTACTCGTACCACCATAAAATATGTATCTTACTATTCTTACAAAGTACCTATGCGTATTTTGATCATTAGGAGTCATAATCTTGCAACGCATGAGTATTTCGCAAGGGTATCAATGTTATGTGATTTCCATGACGTTATATATTGTTATTATATTATAATACATATTTTAACGCCGCTTATCATGATTGATTACTTTTACGAATTGCGGAACTAGCGGAGTTCTAAACTGAATACTCACATCGTCGTAGTCGCGTAGCGCATGCGCGGGACGGGCGCGCTGGCGCGCGCGCGCATGCGGCCCGGCGCGGCGCGGGACGGCCGGCGCGGCGGGCGCGGGTGGCGCGGGGGGCGCGGGCGGCGCGGGGGGCGCGGGCGGCGCGGGGCGGGCGCGCGGGCCGCACGGGCAGAAGCCGCGGCACGCCGGCCGCACAGCCGCGCCCGCGCCGCCGCCGCCCGCCCTGCGCACGCAGTTGTGCAGGTCGAGCCGGCACAGCGACGAGTACGTGCGGTTGTCCGAGCCGCACAGGAAGCGCGCGCGGCCTCGCACCGGGCACCCCACGCACCTGCAACCACACCCATTCGCTCTCTTTACTCTGACCATTCTTTCGATGCCAGTCATTTCCGTACATAGAAGCAATCGATCCACGGACGATAAACGAGGCCCAAAGAGAGTGCGGATTTTATTCGAGACGTAAGGGCGGCCCTCCGAAGATAATGGATACTCGTAACCTTTCAGTTTTATCTCGCTTCGACTTCTTATCACTTGTAGTTGTACTTTTAAGTGCCCGTACAGAGAACAAAAATGTGTCTGGATGTGCGTTGTAGTAGGTATTCTATAATTCATCGTAATATAACACGGCATAGAAACTGATTTATGATTCTAGAAAGATATACACCCTGCGAGTCTCTATAATTATCCAGTCTGTTGAATCAAAAATTGTATCTCAACTGCTATTTAAAATACGAATCAGCTATCGAGACATACTGTTAAACGCGATTTCTGTATATAATTGGGTATTTCGTATCGGTAGTACTTATTGGGCTTCGAGTCGTCTGCCTCCGAGTCGTTGTCTGTTCGGTCGAGTCGAGCGCCGCCGTCGTAGAACACGTCGTCGTCGTCCTCACGCTCCCAGCTCGCACCGGAACCGCTCCATCCGTCCGCTGTCGCTGCTACGATGACGTCACTGAAACAAATAAAGTCAATGACTCTCGAGTCTGAATAATTAAATATGATCCTTTTCTATATTAAATAATGACAACATATAACACATATTTATATTTCGTCCATTTAATAACAAATGGGCGAAATTGAAAAGCCTAAACATTTATTGATACCTGAGGTTGTAGTTTTTATTTGTCTGCATATAATTCAACTTATTATAGTAAACGAGCTGATGATCTACCTGATAGATCACCACTGCCCTAACATTCGCCTATAAACAAGAATATCAATTATAAAACAGGACTTATGGTAGCGAATGCGACGCTAGGCGTGCGTGGGGGTGAAAAGTGTAGTGGATAACAGCGCTAAAACAGTTCGAAAAGTCAGCGTCTTTACCGCACTGAAACCTTGCTATTTCGCTAACCGGCAGAAGAGGCTTTACATTCTAAGGTATGTGTGCCTGCCCTCCGCGATGCACAACTGCTGTTGTTGTAAGTATAAATGAATATATTATATACTGCAAACAACTTACCCTCTTCGAAGAAGTTCCTTTTTGTTAGCACAGAGGGCGGTGAAGGCGTCACGTAACACGCAAACTTCGCGTTTCTTGCAAACCAATGACTGACAAAGTGAATCTGCGAAACGAAACATTTGCCACATATTGATGCTGTAATTAACCGTAATAGTTTAATTCTTGAGAGCTCCTTTAGAACTTTCAGGAATTGAATTGTTAGGGTTGCCAATAGAAATTTTTTTTTTGTTAAAATTTGCGATAATAATTGTCAATCTGACAACGGTGGACCCACCCCCTACGTTTCATTAACTCGTATACTGCCAAATCAATGTATTATTTACTTCAGAATAAAATTAGAGCTTTGTACGTAACACAAATAACTTATTGTTGTAACAATTGCATCCTGCATTTGATTGTATGGCTGCAGTCATTCTATTCACATTTATAAGCAGTTTCTGCTTTCAACGCTACAAAAGCCCATAGCATGTTTTGTGATTGATTTTTTTGTGTTTTTGGGAAACAGTTTTGGAAAGCTGTAAGTGTAGCTAGCAATTTATAAATAATTAAATAAAAAAGAACACATACATACTATCTAAAAGTGAATACAGTAGCCTAAGGGTCAATGATTTTGTCTAAATTTAAACAATAGATATTATGCGTAACTTGAACTAAGTAGTAATATAAATCTTTATATTCAAGGTTTCATCTTAGTGTCTATATTCTAGATCAATTACAACTTCCTCGAGACAGTGGCTGCTAAAACGGGAAGCCAATAATCAGAAGATCGAATGTTATATAAGAAATGTCACATCAATTTGTATAGATTTAGATCTATTTCCTCTGCAGTTTCGAAACGAAATCGTAATGAATTTTTTTATGAAGCTTAGATTAGCAAATAAGCTGACGGCCCACCTGATTGAAAGTGTTAACTGTCGCCTATAGACTAAGATGTTAGATGATAGACTAAGGTGTTATTCCTCTGTGCCCTGTAAATTCACTGCCAATACATTCAAATTCATCTCGTACAAGTAGTACTATGTAGTAAGTAATAGTGGAAAAAGATCATAATAACGGATGGTTGATCACAGATAGGGAAGATCGTAGAGCCTTTACTAGTAGTGATCGGTCCTCCGCACCACATGTTGGAAGTCGCACGCATGTCTACTACCTTTTCTTCGTTGTTACTTGTTTTGTCCGCATGTAAGTGTAACGCTATGAGTCCGGTCACGTGTTCCAGTATTACCATGTATTTAACCGAACAATACTCACTGCTAGGATCATATATGTATCTTCGTGGCCTGCGCGAGTGCGAGTGCTGTACGGCGCCGCCAGCGAGAGCGTCCTGCAACAGCGCAAACAGACACCCGCGTCAGCCCTCACAGTTGTTTCCTACGAATTGCTTTAATTTCCTGACTAACTGAAGGCGTCATTCGAACATGACGTCCCGTGTATGATGTACAATCACGCAATAAGTGCCTACCTAGCTATAATACAGTCAGCGTACATACTGTATATGTTCAGTACTTATCCTACAATTTTTCAAGTATGCATCATTTAGTTTTTGAGTATTTAGCAAAAATTATACAATAAACGAATCCTAAAAAATATTTTTTTCTAATTAATGTATGTGTTATGTCATCAAGAAAGACTAGTCGAATTCATTTGATAGATATTTTACAATTAAATGGATAGATAAGTTGACACAGGCACCTATTACTCAGCAAAGGCAACTGCGTTGCTTCCGGTGCCTGGAAAGCGGGCACGTGAGAGTGAAGTGCTCTCATAAGGAGGACCGCAGCGGTGCATGTTTCCGCTGCGGTATTAATGGGCACAAAGCAGCGGAATGTACCACCACCCCGCGGTGTGTGATCTGCGACGCAGCGGGTCGGCCGGCAGATCACTGGGTGGGTGCAAAGACTTGCACCCCACCCAAAAAGAAGCAGCTGTAACGGCAAGCCGTTCAGGCCCTCTCTACAGGCCGCGGGAGAGAGGAGATGGACAAAGGTTCAACGTCCCACTCCGGCGATCAGGGCGGCTAGCCGCCGTTCGCCAAGGGTTCGTTCAGGGCTGGGGTGACGACCGCGGGGGCGGTCCCCACCCCAATCAACATGGCCCTATGAAATCGCGCGCGTATCCCCGCGCGCTTCCCATTGAAGAGTAAGCGGGCTCTTAACATCAGGTGCCTGCTCCATATTTGAGTCGGGGCCCGCAAGCCGGTGCGAGCCAACGCCGTTGGAGCTCGGTGGATTTCGAAAAGGAACCCGGGTCCCCAACACTTTGGCGCGGCGAGGGATGCCGTGGTGATTTTAGCCGGTAGGAGTCCGGCAGTACCCATACGCCTCCCCTGGGGCAAATGGGTCTGCATCAGGCATTTCCCCACGATAAAAAAAGGCACTTATTACTCGGATTAAAACGACTGCAATGTGATATTACGATCCCTTTTGAGAAGAGACTTTTAATGCTGTCACAGTATAAAGAACAACTATGCTATTCTGTAAAGTCAACCACAAATTGCACTAATGATCCCCACGTATTTTGTATTTTTGTATTTACATAGAATATACAATAGCAGACCTATTGTGTAAACACGTAAGATCAATGTCAGCGCCATTTCGTTATAATGACGGCGTGCTTAGAATCCTTAGAAACTCGCGTTGGTTTTCAAAACTCATTTCCTTTCACTATGACGATGAAGTGAAAATTTAGAAAAAGTGAAAATGAAGTGAGTTGTAAAATGTAATAGGAAATTTTATTGTATAGTGTTATTGCCTCCATTTGTATGTTTTACTGCTTGTACCAATAACGGTTTGTGTTCTAAGGATTTGTTTGGCACGATGTCCACAGACTCCTTTTATCATTGCGCCGTTTGCTCGTCGCTGACAAAGAATTCAACCTCACACCCTAGAAACCTTTTTTTTTTTTTTTTTATAAAAAAAAAAAAAACAAAATGTTCACACACGATGCAAAGAATTTGCGAACACTTAGATTGTACGAATTACCGGCCAAAGTTTATTCTAGTGATTAAGATATGGGTTCTTCAAAGAGTGTGTAATGAATAATGCGCAATGCGTTCATAACACTCCTAGTATTTTTCAACTATGTATCTCAGACGTCAATAAGCTGTAGTCACTGTTTACCATCACACAGATATATTTCTTCAGTCGCTTCAGCAAATCAAGATTTACACATTTTCTTCTCCAATGCATAGAGAATTCAAAAAGTTACGAGAATTTTTCTAATCAGACTCATTGGTACTTTTAGCAACATATGCGGATGAATTTACAGGCACAACTTGTTTATTATAAAGTTTTACAACTAAGAATACTAGTATTTTCGCATTACATGATAATACTTAATCCAATTTGCCGTGTGCTCCCGATACAGAATGAGCCACCCCTTTATTTCCCGTAGTTGTCATAAGAGGCGACTAAGGAACTTTATAATGACAAACAAGCTGACGGCCCACCTTATGGAAAGTGGTAACCGTTGCCTATACGCGGATATTAATAGACACAAAACCTTCACATAAGTAGTAGGTATGTCAATCTATTTCCAAAAAACAGCAATATTCATAATATTAATACTAGATTTAAAGACAAACTTGCTGTCCCCAAGTATCGTTTAGAAAAAGTTAATAGGTCTTTTATGGGAATAGGTATAAAAATTTACAATAAGATACCAAAGGATATGTTGGAATTACCCTTAAATAAATTCAAAACATCTGTTAAATCATATTTACTGAGCAAAGCCTATTACTCACTAAACGATTACTTGAATGACGAGTGTGCATGGCAATAGTTGTTCATGCACTGAATTTTCATTTAATGTTAGACATAGACACCTATATAAATATACATTGTAAATAAACTGGCTTTAAAAAAAAAAGTAATTCAATTGAGTTTCTTGCCAGTTCTTCTCAATTGGATCTATATACCGAACTGGACGGTAGGGTAAATATAAAATTATAATGTACAAATTTGACGTTCATAAGCGGCTAAAATGTCCTACATGAATAAATGATTTTTGAATTTGAATTTGAATTTACTAACATAGGTAGAAATAAAAAAAGCTATTATTTAGTAAATAGGTGAGAGGTGAATACATACTACCTACTGAATAACTTTACGCCTGCATATTTGTAAACTATTGATATCAACTCGAAAGCTACATCACATAACTATATACTTTAGTCGAGTACTTACTCGTATATGCAGTGCACATGAAGACTTGCAATTGCACACGGGTATAAACGGGTATAACGGGTATAAATAACATTCGTAATCTACCGTACTTCATTGCATAGCATCTAAAATTCCATAAAACCGTTAAGTGTTTCATAATATTTTAACATATTTTATTAGATGTTTGAGTAATATATGCCTAGGTACCTAGAGCTACTAGTTAAGTAGCCACCAAGTAGTACCTACTGAGAATTAAGGAGTAACTAATTAATACGATCAGAGTGCATTACAGAGAAGTGTGTCCAAGTAAGTACAAGTAGGTATGTACATAGATTACACCTACACACTTTTCTCTATTTACATAAACTATCTGTCGATACTTAGACACATAAGTAGTTTCTTTGTACTTATGTGGTACTTAAGGATTATTTAATCTTCATATATAATTAAGAGTAAAAACGTGTAATTTAAACACAACTAAAGATTTCCACAAATGTATCTAACTATATATTTACCAAACTAAAATCATTAGTGCATACCCTACCTAACAGTTATCATAAATTTACACTAATATGGAGTGATTATTATTATCGTCACATTCCGTGCGCCGAACAGATTCGAGTTTGGCACAATCCCGTGGAGTGGTGGCAGCAGTGCTCCGCATACGAGCTAAACGCAGCGAAACCTGTTCAGAGAGCGGGGCGAGCGCGCGCGGGGGTGCTCCGGGCTCACCGCGTCGTCGTCGAACTCGAAGTCCTGGTCGAGGCGGCGCGAGGCCGCCGCCGCGAGGGCCAGCAGCGCCGCCGCCGCGGCCGCCGCCGCCCACACGCGCGCCTGCATGTCGTCGCAGCTACAGCCGCGCCACTAGCGCCTCGCACACTCCGCTCCGAGCGAGTCCGCGCCGGTACGTCCGCGAGCCGGCGAGAGCGTGGCGGCTGGCGACACGGTCCGCGCGCGGAGCACTGCCGCGCCGCCGCCGCCGCCGCCGCCGCACCACCGCACCGGCCTCGCGACCCGCCCGCCAGCCTACGACCTGTGGCCCTCTCAGAGGAAATCTTTTACTCTACCGTCTACGTACGTAGAGTTCATACTTTCGATCAAATGAACATCGCGTTGCGTAATGTTCAATCAAAGCACCTTCGATTGCTTTGTAATTAACTTAATTGGACATAAACATTACTGGCTATATAGAGATACGTATTTATAATAAGTTTATCTAGTCGAAATACAGTGATAATAAATACTTAGTGGATATCTATTTGCTATTTGAATAATTGTCTGAGTATTTGTAGTCGAGATAGTTAAAAAATAGATAAACTATAAATTTATGACGACAGGTTTAGAAATTACATTTCGACTCTCCCTTTTCAGTAAGGGATTAATAGTAATGGAATCCAAAAGTTAATAATATGATCTGTCAGATCTACCTCTGCGTGCTCCCTCTTGGAAACCATCATAGTTAAATCCTGCTTAACTTGGTCACGATGGGACAACTGACCTGACTTCATCCTCACCTGTCAGCCCTCACTGGTGCACTACCAGCGTATACCATCACCTTATCTTTACGAGGTTACCATTTCACTTTCATCCCATTAAAAAATAATAAGATTGTCTTCCACAAACAAATCCAACTGTAATTATAGCACAACTAATTATTTTAATTTCAAAACTAAACCACTGAATCTATTTTGATGAATTTTCTATGCGACCATTCTTTATTAAAAGAATTTTCTAAATCGCTTTATAACTGACTGAGCGATATAGGTACATAAATAAGTTTTATTTTCTTCACAAATTTTACAAAAAACAGGTAGCCATATGAAAAAATAATAAATTACCTCGAAAACTATCCAAAATCTAAAAAATTCTAAAAATCAGACTCCGTGCCCTTTTATTGGAAAAAATGCATCTACTCAATAAACGAATTTTAGTAATAAAATAATTGTCAATTATGAACAGTTACTCAATTTTTATTACAATTGATATTTACATTAATTCAAACCGAATATTATTGACTTATTTGTATGTATAGTTTATTAATTTGTTAAATTGTTGTATATTTCTGTATATTTCTGATTTTGTACTTACATATATAATATTAATAAAATAATTTTTAGCACAATGTAATATTGTTATGGAATGAATTGGAATTTAATTGAATGCATATATAATACAGTATAACTAGATCAAAGATCTGTGCCTTATGAATTCAGGCTCCCATCTGGACTCGTTGTACAGTTTGCATTAAGTAAGGGTAAAATGTAAATTAAATGTTCTAAGGTAACAAACATTACAAAAAATACAACCAGAGTATGAAATCGGTTGAAAAGAGTGTCACTCGTCGCTTGTTCAGTTTCATGATTGCTATGTACTACGAGTATCATCAGGTTACGGCTCAGTATGAGCTGTGGAACGAGTTACCCAATAGCATTATAAATATCGCCTACTTAAGTATTAACTAAGACATTTACACAGTACCTGCAGAATATGAGGACCACAATATTTGTCACAATACAGAAAAATGTATGTGTATATATGTGTATCATGTATGTAAGCACTTTGAAACTACAACTTCGTAGATTTTAATTATTTTAATTAATTAATTCATGCATCATTGATAAACTCATGATAATGGCAAACCAATAATAAGGTGTTCTTTAACAGTTCTATCACAATGAGCCGACTGACCTGACTTTATTCACCCATTGGTATCTCAGCAAAGTATAGCCCGATAATGCAGGGTTTACCATTCAATTTGCATACCATAAAATGTTTCGTACAACCTAATTTATTGTCTGTATTGGTTTTAGTCTATGGGCGAGCCCCGACCGACGTGGCCCGAAGGGTGTCCCGGCCCCGCGCGCAGCCTCTCGCCGCAGCCTCCTGCTCCCTGCTCCCTGCTACCCGCCTCCCCCCCCCCCGCGTCCCGCGCCCCGCGCACGCTCCCACATCAAGTATTCCGTACATATTAATGTACATATACACCACTTTGAGGTCACAAACTGAACTGCACGCGAATAAACAGTTTGTTAAAGCGTAGCTGAGACCCATTGTGATGCTGTTTCGAACTAAATCTTGCTTGGGTAATCCTTACTAATATCATAAATATGAAAGTGAGATTGTTTGTTTGTTACCTTATAGCGCCTTAACGGTTTAACCGAATGAAATTTGATATACACGTATTATATGGGATGAAGATGGATACAGGCTACTTTTTATTCCGGTCACTAAACATATCCCGGTCATGCGGACGATATATATATATATATATATATATATATATATATATATATATATATATATATATATATATATATATATATATATATAGTTTAACCTGCGTTTGATACTTTCTTAATTCTGATACATATTTTGAAAACTGTGCGTGGATATACCAATAAGAGGCTGTCTGGGTCATTTACATACATATATAAAATAAAATAAAATTTAATATACAAATAAGTAAGTATTATTAGTCAACAAGACTAGACAACAAGCTGTTGACTTTTTTAATGGATGATGATGGATGGTAACCCCGCCTGTGCTATCGGTATACGCTGGCGGGGCACCAGTGAGGGATGAATGATGAGGATAAAAAAACAGGTCAATTAGCGTATTACTTCACTTGAAATTCGCAACCGCAAGAAGATCGACTTGACAACGTACATTGCTTAACTCTAATGGAGTTTTCTTCCAGTAAACCCAAAGTGGAAAGGAGAATCAATGTCAGCGGGTAGAGCGGTGTACAATATTGTGCAAATTTTTAAACAAACTAGACAAAATTAAATTAAATACATTATATTTAATCGTATAAATACACATATACATGTACATAAATATATACCTACATATACCATATAGATAAATAAATATATGTTCATAGAGATAGAAAATGCTCTTAAAACCTTTTAGTGGTGAAACAGGGGATGAAAATTTGTATAGTAGTTCAGTTATGATTGTAGCTAACAGCACGAAACATTAAGATAAGAAATGAGTTTAATATCTCAGCGTTTTTGGAAATTTCACTCCTGAAAGGAAGAAATGGAGAATAATAATTTAAATATCAATTTAATTCATTTTAATACCAATTTAATGAAAAGGTTTGCTGGAAGAAACCTTTTATTAGAGATAAGCTCGCCTTTGTACATTTCGCTCGCATTTAAAATTAATTGCTCCTATGAATATGTTTGTGTACAGTAAAGAGTAAAGTTTAAAGTCATTTTATGTAAATGGTTAATAACAAAATGTTTTATTACTCTGAAAGATTATTTTGCAAGTAAAATGGATGACATTATATGATTGAATCTAGAATGTAGAATATTGTATGCAACACATATTTGTAAATGTATGACGGACGTAACCTACTGAAAAATAATGACATGCATGTATAATTTTACAATAATAATTTGAACTTCAATGTGGCTTTAGTAATATGACTTCTAATTAATAGTACATATAAAATGTTGCATGCCAAGCTGGCTGAATGTCATGGTTACACAAAATGTATAATGTTATCTAAACTTACCACATTCATCGCAATAAATTTCATTTCATTTCATTTCATTTCATTTCAAAAAAAGAAAGAATAGCGTGTACAGAAATTATGTTATTTGTGAAATTAGAAATTTTATAAAAATAAATATAGTGAACGCTCTATATAAGCAACTCATTTGAACCAATTACAATAAAAAAAAAATCTTATCGGGAAAAGTTGCTTATAAAGAAAAAAAAGGAGTATAAAAACCCTTACCGTCTGGAAATTATTTTTATTTATTTCCTTTACTAAGCTGAGTAGAATAAATAAAATATAAAGAATGTTGCTTATAGAGAGGTTGCGTATATAGAGAGTTCACTGTATTATATAAAGTTTGATTCTAGGCTTTTTTTTAAACAAAATATTTTTCAGCAGTTTTCGAAAACTCTATCCGTAAGGAAGTGAGATTTGTTAACTTTAAGTTACGTAAGCGAAGTTTTAAATTTAGTGCTTTGCAAATAAAAACACTTTATCATTTTTGGAAATATCATTCTTCTATGAATGTAAAGAGAACATGTCTTAATATTATAACGAATGTACCCGTAATTATTACGTAGTTTATTTCAGATGTCCGCTACTGTAAGGGCGAGGTGTTGAAGACAGCGACCGAAAGGGATTGCAACATAACTGAACTGTAGGCGGACGAAGTCGCCAGCAACAGAAATAATTTGAATGACTGAGACAGAAAAATAATTTCCGAAAAAATTGATTACCGCACGCGAGCGAAGCCGAGGTCAAAAGCTAATTTCTTATATAATCCACTTTTTTTCTAGAATCATTTCTTTGAATATCATCTTAATTGTTTTATCTGATTTCGAAATAAATAAAAGGTTACCCACCAATTTCTTTGAGATTTATAAGCCGATTTGCGTGATGTCTTTTAATAAAGTTTAAGCTTTTATCTTCAGAAAATTTCATTTTTTTAAATTAAATACAAACCGTATAATGAAAACTAAGTCTTCCCTGAGGTGTTCGTGTTTCTTCCGTCTAAATTTTTTTTTATAAATACTTACAAAGGAATCGTTCACACGTAAATAAATAGGAACATTTGTAAATACAAATGTTTGTGTTATATACATAGATATACCTACAGGTGAAAACAAAATCGTTACCGTCCTTTCAAGGGAGTGCCCTACTTGCGGAATTGAATATTTTCCCCAAAGAAATATGAGTGGAAAAGTGAGAAAAAATGTTTACACTTCGTTACATCACGTTAAACTAGTAAGTTAGTATGGGAGATATATACCCCTATAGATAAATACAAAAGGTCCTGGTACATTTATGTACACAGTCCGCAGTCCACAGGTGACATCCGACCTACATATATGAAATACATAACATGGGTACGACTACTAGCTTTTACACGTCACCTCGTCCGCGTGACCGGGATGACAAGTAACATAGGTATGTCCTGCTCCACCCCATATAGTAGGTATGTAAATACCA